TTGAAAAGAATATCAATAAAAATGTATCTATTCGGCAAAAAAATTGATTTAAATAAAAAATGTGAATATCTGCAAAATTGGATTATGCCTATTTGTTTTTGAAATTAAATCACTACGTATACTTCCCACATATTTTCCTTACAAAATGTGATATAAACAAGGGATATCGGTGAGTATATTAGTCATTGTATATAAATGTACACATTCTTGGAACGATTATTTTTTTTCCATAAATGAAAATTCATTTCTTCCCACATTCACCTTTGTCATGGGTTTTTTGGAGTAATAAGATCATGTTTTAGTGAATTGAGTTTCGAAAGACTATTCTCTACTCCTTTCCATTATTAAATTACAAAGCAGAATACTGATATAGACGAGTGAGTTACGTTGTAATCTTAACATAAACTAAGTTTAAATTCCAACAAGTTTCAAGAGATTTGAGGGACCTCAGTAATGGTACACTGGGGGATGACCCAATGACGTAATGACGTTTGTGGCTCAGGATTAGGAGTAACACAACTGTTTTCCATTTTTATATACAAGTCTTAAGGCCGGCATGTTAAAAGTCACAATGGAGCCCCTCCGTGAACAAAAAAGGATTTTTAGTCATGATGACACATCCATCGACGAAGGTATAGATTTTAACTATCCACCAGCCGCATATGCAAATTTAAGTGTCTCAAATGAAATCTTTTCGAAAATTGATGAAGGGTCCTTCAAATTACTAAAAACGTTAAATCAATGTTTATTTTATCATAAACGAAAATTATTTACTCTTTTAATCGATTTTTTTTTTAATCATAAATGATTTGAATTTTCAGTATACAAATAATTTATTTAGGAATCATGTGTGAACAACACAAAACAAAAATCTCAACTAGGACTTTTGTTCAAACCCAAAGTATATAGTTAAAGACTTAATTTGTTAATGTTTGCAAAATAATCATTATGGTTGACCTAGCAATTTCCATTGCCATAAGAAATTGCCAGGTCGATATACAAACAGGATCGTAGTTGGGATTCCCCGTGTGTATTGCGAAATCATTTTAACAAGGTCAATACGTTGTATACGGTGTCCTTTGATGACCATACAAAAATTCGTAAAATAGATGATTTGTTTTGGTTTGTTTGGACAAAACATTGTTTTGGTTTAGCTTTCTCCCGCATCTAAAACCGATAATATCGTCAGTGGCTATCTCTCGGTAGATATCTGCCGATTTGCGAGCCGACAGTCACAGTGTTTGCAAGGAATCTCTGTTTTAGTTGACAGAAATCACAAAACAGTTTGTCTTAATGAAACAATTGTATCTATGCTGCGTTCACTGCACACGCGCGCAACGTTCCCAAAAATAACCAGAACCCTTTGTTAATTCTCACAGACACCACACCAGAGTCTCTAATTCTTTGTATAAAACAAAGCATAAGGCTAGGCAAACATTCATTCATTCATATTTCATTCATATTTATTTCCACTTAATCAGTATTAATGATGTGCCAAGTATTTTTAATGTTGTTCTTCTCTTTTTCAAACTGCTGATTAAAATAATTTTGTTTTGCAGAACGCAATATATTAGTGAGTGAATTCCTGTAACGGATGTATTTTTGACGATTAAGCTGATTGGGAGAACGAAGATACTTATGATAAAGTCTATGTTTATAATTAATAGACTTCAGTAGGGCAGATGTAATCCATTTAGACCGAGGCTGGGTTTTTCTATTGGAAGAATTAGACCTTTGGAGGGGGATATTTTTATTGTACAAATTATTAAAAATGTTCATAATATTATTAAAGGAAACATTAGGATTATCAACATTGAGAACCACAGACCAGTCACAAGAATCCAGATCAGATTTAAGGCTAGAAAGATTAGCATCGGAACATTTTCGAAAATAACCCGACGAATGGGGATGAGAATTTAACTTAAAAGGAAATAATGTGAAAATCGGAAAATGATCAGAGATATCAGAAACTAAAACGCCTGAATTTGGAGGAGGAAGAATATTACAAAAAATGTTATCAATGAGAGTGGCTGAAGTCGATGTAACTCTGGTGGGTTTATTTATGAGAGGAAGAAATGAATGGGCACACATATAATCCATGAATTCCTGGGTCTGGCTGTGGTCATCAACATTTAGCAAATTAATATTGAAGTCTCCGGATATAAGACACGTCTTGTTCTCAGAGACAATACGCTCTTGAACATCCTGTAAGGTCAAAATAAAATCATTAAAAGAAGATGATGGTGGCCTGTAAATTACCCCTGCAATAATGATCTTGTTACAATTCTCAACTTCAATAAAAATTGATTCAAATGAGTCAGAGGAATGAGATAAATCGAGTCTAACTGTATAACGAAGGTCAGAGGAAATATAAAAAGCAACTCCACCCCCACTCTGGCCACTCTGTTGTTAGTCTCAAGCTGGTATCCGGGAATGGAATAAATATTAAACGGCATGTCGGAGTTTTTGAGCCACGTTTCCGAGAGACCCACAACAGAGAAGTCAGAATGAAGACATTTTAAATAATTTTGCATATGATCATAGTTTTTAGGGAGGCTTCTAATACTCATATGTAGGAAAGAAAAGTTTGAGAGATTATTGAGATTAAAAACAGTATTGAAGTTAGATTCATTAAAGTAATCAGAGGAAAGCTGATTATGGTTAAGATTGTTAGAATCACAAGCTGAAGATCGTTTAGATGTTTGAATTCGAACAGAATTGCTATCGAAAATAACATTTGATAAAACTCACAATTGATAGACGGTATGAGTATGAGTTACATCAACAAAACAGGAATGCGTAAACTTCCGATGCATCCAGTTGTATAAGAAAAACCTAATATATCCCGTAATAGAGGATTCTGCATTGTACAAGAAATACATGGATAACACTCAGACAAGACACAAGACAAGACAAGACAAGACAAGAATATGTGGTCGAAATGTAAAGAAACAAAGCGAATGAGGGAACGATGAATTTACACAATTAAGCAGGAAAATGTGTCTGGGTAGCAAACATAATCACACCGATGAAGGCCCAAGGTTGGAATCACAAGATTATAACGCAATAGACCTTCAATGAAGGGCCGTTGACAAATTCAAACTTACAAATTCCAATACTTCAAGAATTTCACAATTTGAAACTCGCCCAAGTGTAAGAGGGCTACAATATAACGAAGGAAGTTATGATCGAAATATTACAGTTTCTGAAGATCTTCCTTGGATACTACAATCACCCGTGAACCGTCTTTCCGCCGTTCTTCGATCCGGCCGTCTTGGGTCCATGCCTTGTCGGTTGACGAATGACGCTTAGCTGTGGCGAGCAGGCGCTGACGTTCCTTAGTAAGGCTCTCGTGGACATAAATATTAGAGCCTTTAAACTTGGCTCTAAGGCGGTAGAATGCAGCCCGTGAATTGTAGTCCACGAACTTCACAACTATTGGTCTTGCCCGTGGTTTTCCCGTCTTATCCACACGAGGTCCGACGCGGTGAGATCGATCCAGAGCTTCGGGACGTAGCTCGATCGGTATTCTCGGGTTGCGGTGTTTCGGGAATGCCATGGACAATAAGGCAGTTACGTCTGGAGTATTGTTCTTGTTCAGAAAGCCGTTCAGTAAGATGGCGGACATCTTTCTCCAGACTGCCTATCTTCTTGTCTCAGCTAAGCAGCTCCAGCTCCAAAGCCTTATTGATGTCTTGGGTTATAGAGTCGGCAATGGCATCAGTCAGAGCTGGGATCAAAATGTCCAGAAGGGCATTAAAATGCGCCGCAGCACCTAGTAAACAATCATAAAGGTGCTACATAATGGTTCTCATATTTCCCATGTACTTCATTTACCTGTCTCTTGTAATAGACATAATTTCCAGCGCCTTGAGTACCTAATTGTTGGTAGATACGTGCGCTATATAAGACTTCGGTATTATTATTATTATTATTATCACCGTTCATCAAACGGTTACCGTGCGTGTACGCCAACAATGTCATTTACACAGGGTGAGTCAAAAAAGCGGAACCCAAACCAAAAAAATATATATTCTTCTTTTTTTTTTTTAAATGTGTAGCACCAAAAATAAATATGGCTGGAAAGCCAATTTTATAAGCTATTTTTAGATGCAAAAAATACTGAATTGCTCAATCCGTTCAAAGAATATGTAAACGCAAGTAATGACACTAAAACATGTATTGTCCAAAAAGCAATTTATCGTGTGTTTTGACTGTTCGGAACAAAAACGAAAATGACACAGAATACTTGTTTCAACAACTGTCACCAACTGTAGTACATCAAAATCTTGTTTTCTTTTAGTGAAAATCTGATATGAAAAACAATGACGTATGATTTAATTCAGTTTAATTAAAAATCTTTTTAGTAAACCAAATTTCAGTTGAGACTGCTTTTGGTGCGGTATTACAGACGTGTTTACTATTTATTTTCACCTCTCTTCAAAGGTGAGGGGGCAAATGTCATTCAATAAAAACCCTAAATATAGCGCTGTGGAGCTTCCATTTCAGTTGTTCATAAAACCGTGACATAATACAAGGGATCGAGTTTTGTATTTTGTTCGTCGCGCTGCTGAATAGGCCTAGCGCATATTTTGTGTTGTTTGTGCTGTCTACAGGGTTTCACATAAATGAGATTTAATATTTACTGGAGTTGATTACAATCATAGTTTATCAATTTCCCGTTTATGGGCATTTTTTTGTTTTTAATTGTCAGTGTCATTACTGTAATGTTAAGCCAAAGACATAAAATATAGAGAGGTATCGAAAATATTACAAATGTGCAAAATATGGAGACCTCGGAAATACTAAGAAGTGTGTACGGTACATGCTAAAAACATTTCGGCTGAATGACATCTGAATTAAAAACAATACAGCATAGTTGTGCACTAAATTAACGCCGTCTGAACAACTGTCAATATAAATGTTTGTATTGCTAGATTTCAAAACCGTCGTTTGACCAAGTGCAACACAGTTAAACCTGTGGTTAAGCCGACGTCAGCATGGCAAATCTACGTTTAATTGATGGTAAGTTTATAAAAAAATATATAAATATATACATGTACATACATTCTTAAAGGAAACGTGCAATAAGATTGGTATGAATAAAATACTTAAAAAACAGCTTTCTTGCCATGTAACTATGACTTTCCACCTCTTTTTGTAGCAGTAAAAGAGATTAATTTCAACATTTTAGTTTTTAAGGTAATGTAAATGTCCATATTCATGAGCCAAAGCGTGATGTCATCCAAGGCTGAACAGTAGTGTCTATATAGCTTTGTGCACAAATATAAATGAAACTTTCATTAATTCCTTGGAGAAAGTTCAATGTTTTACTTGTTTATCAAGTTAAATAGCATGTTTGGACAATAGTAGTGGCCAATATTTCTTCAAAACTGTTTTTGTGGGTATTTTTGTGTACTGTACTCCTTTTAACAAGGAGTACCTTGTGTAAACAAAAGCAAAATCTTGTACATGTATTGATGAAAGGATTTGCTAATAATTGAAAAAAAGTTCCACTTGCTTGTCAGTTCCAAAGAAAACAAGTATTAAGATCTTGTATGTATTGTTGCAATACATAGCTGTGCATGAAAGCAAGATGAGCTGAAATTCCACTGCATGTTTCCTTTAAATGTTAATCCGTTCTTCAAATAGAAGAATGTCGCGTGTGACCACATATGGGATGGTATGTTCAAAGCATGAAAAGACTGATGCTTCTTTCATTTACATGAGATGTTGTCACAATCGTATATGCTCTGGGAAATATCCTGGCATTTACATACCTGTCATGAAGGATATAATGGCCTGCCTCGCCCGATGAGCAATCAAGGAAACAGTCGAGGGCTGCAACACTATAGCACACAAAAGCTGACTTCCTTTGACAACCTTTTTTTTCATTTGCGATTTTATTTCCTCATTTTGTCAGCTGGCTAAAACACGATTACTCAACATAAATTCGTCGGCTCAATTTCTCGGCCACGTGGGCAAGGAAGCACTGAAGGCTACGTTTCCGTCTCTTGTTTCCACACCGATAAAAAATATGTGCATGCCCTTTAGGATAAATTTCGGCACTTGTTTCTTTATGACATTTTATGCTGTGGCTATAGACATATTTTAACAATCGTACTCTTCTCTTTACAAAGATGGTTTGCCGGTCCAGGTGGACGATGATGAAGGTAAATTATTGTAACATTCATATTGTATACAACATACATTCACATTCGTATAGTAAGTGTAGAATAGGAACAACATGCAGATGGCTTGTACCGTATAAGTCTTAGTAGACCTGTTCGAGCATACAAATGTTGCTTTGCAAGAACGGATAGGAGATTTGGTAGTGAGGCAGATAGGGGATTGGGGAATTGTGCCTTTGATGATAAAGCATGGCATTTGGCACACAGTCTGAGTATGTCTTTTAAAGAAAGATATTTGGCTAAAGGGCCAATACAGATTCGTCCTTTGAAAAAAATAAAGGTACAGAATAACAAGCAGTTTTCATAATTTTCAAAATGGCTGTCATTGCTTGTTAGTTTACCATTTTTTTTCAAAGGACACAGTTGCGATGGCCCTACCTTTATCATGCTGCCACCATTTCAGTCATGTTCCCTGCATCCAATAAAAGTTCTGAATGATAATGTGTTTTGTGAAAAAAAGAACCAGATATTTCCTTCTAGTCTCGCTTTGGTTATGTTGATTTGAATGGGAAAAAATCAAGATGGCCGCAACACGATTATGGTCTATAAAGCCAAACTCTGGCTGGGTGCCAAGTGTCATGCTTTTATCATCAAAGGCATAATCACATCACAAATAAGGCCTGCGATTTTAGTTTCGGCAAAGTGGCTTTACTCCCTTCAAAAATGCCTGTAATTGCTACGCCCCTGGCTTTATTTCGTACGATCGAAGTGGAAATTGTCTTTAATAAAATTGATTTACCACAAGACTATAACAAATTGTCACATTTCCTTGCAGATTATTTTCAGGATATCAATCGGAGTCTTCAAATGCAAAACAACCCTCACCACGCGAGAGCACAATGTGAGTGTAACTGTAGGCAACAATAGGGACAATGTGACTTGAAGAGTTTATCCAAAATTTGGCCAGATCCGACAAGAAAAAATATTCACTACACGGAAGCCAGGTTTGCCTCAAAAACTACTGAGCTCTTTCATTCATTTCAGTCGAAGTAGCTTTAGTTTTATTTTCAAGTACTGGAAAGTACCAGGACCATACATGTACTCCACAACCCAGTTGACGGTTATTTATTAAACTTAGTGTTTCAAAACAGCAACTGCGGTAGGATGCTTAGAAGAGACTCACTCCATTTCGAGTATGACTGGGCCTATTAGAGGAGCTAACCATGTTATTCCTCTATTTTCAAATGTGATCGGGAGAGATGTGGAACGACAAAATGTAACACAATTAAGCTGCAGCCGAATCTTTTGTCTAGAACTCCTGTCTCTCCATAGGTGCTTTGTACATTATAACCACGTGGAAATATGTTTCTAATACAAGTAGCCATGGAAACCCAGTTGCGACACAGACACAATTATGTTTACGTTACATACCTAGTGTGGACATAGAAAAACCCGTGAAAAATCGTTTTCTCACACTGTGAAAACTCTTTCAATCCGATATTTTTTCATTCCCTTTTGTGTTTGTTTTCATTTTGCCACTGATAAACCTTACCCAAAAAAATGCCTTAAACCTAGCTGTTTTCCAGAGAGGGGGACACACCCTGTGGACGTGGGCACTGAGTCCACACAACGTCGCTGCTACCTGGTGTAGGCCTATGTGGACCTCTGTTGTTCGGAAGTCCACACAGTGAATGTAAGCTTGCACAACCATAAACTCACGCACACAAAATTGCCTGCAATCGGTAACCCCCTGTTGTCCTTCTTTTGTTTGTACTTTTTAGGAAGACCTCCCATATGTTTTGTACACATCGCCAAATTGGGGACCTTTGGGAATTGGGAGACCCATTGTCCTCTATTGTTCAACGTTCCCTATTGAATGCAGAAACAAACTCATACGCACAATTAAATGAATGAATAATTCATGTCCGATCGAATATGAAATGACGTATATACTTTTGACTGCGGCCGTTGCAGCTGGCATCCATCCACCCACGCTGTTTTTCCTCTTACGGTGCCAGTAAAAATCTGGGGTTTTTTTCAGATGTGCATCCACGCATGAATAGGCCTATTCAAATAGGCGTGAGCCTGATGAATACGTCTGTCACGGATATGCTTACGAACACCTCCAATTGGCGGGCCTGTGCTGTGAAGGTGGTGAACCATACACGCTGGACACTGGAAAGTGCTGGGGTAAGGTTCACACTAAAGGATAAACCCTTACCAGAGAAGATGAAACGGTTTAAACCTTATCAGTATATACTAATAAAGGCTAGATGTTACATACCGGACAATGTAAGCCTCCTTGTAAGGCCAAAAAAAAAAATAAGTCGGTCTCTGGTCAGCGCGCGCGTCGATTTTAAGCATGCGCGTCGATCTTTTTTTTTTTCCAAAATGTTCCGCGGTAGCTCCAACAGCGCCCTCTATTTCCGCACCTCCTCAATTTTTTTTTACCAAAGAGCACCAAGGAATGGGAAACTGCACCAAGGCAAATGATCGAAAGCACCAAGGCAAATTATGGAGGCCACCAATGTACATGAGGACACCAAAAAAAGCAAAATAGTACCCAGCTTGTCTGTACAATCCAAGCTGGGAAAAAAAAAAAAAAAAAAGGAAAAAAAAAAAAAAAAAAAGCCGCGTGGCCGCGTCAATTCCGGAACTTTGATCTGACCAGAGACCGAATATTTTTTTTTTTTGGCCTACTGAATATATGGTTTAATAGAGAAATCGCTGTGCAAAATGGGCCGGATTTAGCCATTTTATGATTTAATGGGGTAATCCTGTGTGATAAGCACTGTCCAAAATTATGCTACTGATAGTGAGTGATTACAGCCTACACATACAGCTACATTGGCACAATGACGTTATGGGTTTTCCCCGTTTTGATAATTTGACTGAACCAAATAGCGCCCTCCGCTATAGTCCGACTGCCTCTACCGAATTCTAGGCAACCTCGTTAACGCCCCGAACCTGGACCAGTCGGCTGTAAACGTCCGAGCACGAAACCATCCCAAAACACTGAATATCATGCAAGCAAATTTGCTGTAAACTGAGATATTTCTGATTGTTCATTATGTTTTTCAATGAGTCATACTGGTTTTAGAACCAGTTAGGGAATGTGTTATCATCGTGTTTGAGGATGTTTCACGTTCGGACGTTTGTAGACGACTCGTCTAGACACGAGTTGTTAAAATAAAAGCGCAGCCTATAACTAGTGCCCTCCTATACTTCAGTTGCCACACCCCCAGAAATTTAATTTGGCTTACGATTTGAATAAAGTTTCGACGATAGAGGGCTAGAGTCCTCTCTTTTCCTCAAACCCGTTTCCGCGTCTGTCAAGGACTTGGCTAAAGGTAGCAGACCAGTAAATAAACTGCCATAGACCCCAATGATAAATGCCCCCACTTCAAAAATTCTGATACTCACAACTCTCCAAGGTATTCCCGACACACATCAAATTCAAGTTAATTTCATCATTGTTCATTTTCTTTTCATTTTTTGGGATGTTAACCGATGGCTTTTAGTAGAAATGTTCATCCGAAGATGATCACCCCTTAAAATGGTCCTGAAGCCCATCGCCATTTTGAAAAACAACGCCTACACTCCATTGCAAAATAGAGCGTTTTTAGGGCTCAAATTTCATGTAAATTGCACAGAACTTCAAGCACACAGTGTACGGCTTCCACCCATATTCTTTACAAACCCTCACGTTCACGGCCAAATGCTCAAAAAGCGAAGAATTTGAGCGCATGCAATTCGTGATTTGGCCGCTGCGTAGGCGATTTCGGACCGATTTACTGGTCTGCAACCTTAATTGTAAAGAAAATCAAGGTCATGTTTTTCAGCAAATGAGGGCGCTGTAACCATATTTCTGAAGTACAACAGAAGAACTGTCATTCATATAGAAGGGAATGTTCATAAATATGTTATTAACCCCCGGTTCAGACAGGCGTTCCAGAGTCGCGCCGAGTCGTAATTACTTCTTGATAATTATTGAGGCTCATGTAGAGAAAAGGGGTGTCAATTACCAAGAATTCACGCCCGGTGTTGGTGTCGGTGTTGCGGCAACACAAAAGTCCCCTTGCTAGACAATAACGTTTTAAGTTGCGGTTTGATGTTTTCCTTCCCCGGAAATAGATCTTTATAAAAGGAGGACATTCGATTTCGGCTCAGCACAATGTGGAACCATTGACGGCTGAAGCTTTTGTAGCTGAAAAGACCAAAGGAACAGCGACCAGCTCTTATGGGACTGCGTCCTTTTCGGTGCAAGGGCAAGGCAGACCTCGGTACATTAATATCATGTGGTCGGTCCCGTTCGATCGCAACATCTTCAAAAATGTGCTCGGTATTGAAGTTTCTCAAGATTGTGGACCACATGATTTTGACCGTATGTATTACAGGCGCAACTTCCGGCAACATTCGGTCACACGTGACTTTAAACGAAACTTAGTTCCCCTCCGTGTGCAGACCAACGATTTGGCAGTCGTTGGTAGTATGGGGAACGGCCCCAAAGTCGAAGCCCTGATCAATGTGTACGAGCATTAGACAGGTGATATTATTAGGGGTATGGGCAAACAACATTATGGGTAATGTTGCCTTTTGCTACCCACGTACCCTATTCTCCTTGAGAAAATGTTCAAGTGTCAGACACACTACGCATCTCAGATGCTCCTACTTTCGATAAAAACACATATTAAGGCCATCATAAGGCAATAATAAATTAGTCTGTCGTCATTATCAGGTCAAGTGGCAAGCTATTGGTATAAATAATATACATTATCAACTAAATGCATATTAACATTGTACATGGACAACGCACATGTAGTTTTGACTGTGTCAACATCATCCTCGACTGAGGATGATGTCTCATGATGATGTTGATGCCAGCCTGGTGAGGGGGGGGGGGATGTGGTCGGTATTTGTTTTATATACTAAAGAACTGAACCTTATATAGGCCTATAGCTGCGTTTTATTGAATATATTTATCTCCCGGTTACATTTCAACAAGAGTTGTAAATTATCTTGTTCTTTTATCAAGACTTCAATTTACATTTGTATTGTGGTGGGGATTTCCCCGGGTCAAACCTAAGTTCGTTGGGAGTGTAGCTGATCTTCCCCAACCCAAGCTTTCCCAAGACGAGATACCGCTCAGAGCGACCGCAAGGCTTAGGGAGCAGGTTCGTTTTGGAGGAAATATACCACTGATTATGATGATTGTGATTACCCTCTGTTAATTGCACAAGTACCAGGGGTTCCAATGGCAATTAATGTTGTTTTGAAAAGACATTTTAAAAATATGGCTGTTGAAAGTATACGGTATAAGCGGATCACACCAACTATCACTAGAAGTATTAACAATGCCACGACGGATGATTTGGTTATGACCTTTATTTGTAGAAGACTGAAAACCTATCAGGAAACTCCCGATGCTCATTATGTACACAGAAACTCACAACAGTTGTGCAACAAAAAATGGCTTTGAAAAGGACAAAGGAAGAAAGAGAAAAAATGAGAAAAACTCCCCTGCTCTATTCAGTAAATTACACAGGTTCTCGAGAGTGAATACATTGAAAACGATTTAAAGCGTAACTATTTCAGCTTTAAATCGTTTTCAATGTATTCACTCTCGTGGGTGTCATTGGGCTAATATTGCATGCTTTGTAGCACATTCAAAATGAAAGACGTAATTGCACCATGCTTTTGTAAATACATGTATAATCATCTACAATCTAAAGGAAGGGAGGGCCTTATCAACCAATGTAATTGGAAATTATATCGAACGAGAATATTATAAATCGTAAGTTTCCAAGCCTATCTCTTGTTTCATAATTGGGTTTTGCCAAGGGGCAAACCACGAGATATACTTTGGTAAAGCATCGATTTGTTAAATTCAGTTTCCACGTTGCTAAAACCATGCCATACAATTTTTTTTAGTACATTTTTACAATATTTCAGCGTAAGATTTAAATTAAAATTACAAGTGTTTGTACCCCGAAAAGGACGTCAAAAACAGCGTCCATATGCTCTTGTTTCATGAATGGATTTTGCCCAGGAGTAAATTTACAAGAGATATCTTGGTAATGCACGTGTTGTGTATTGGAGGTCAAATTTTGAAGTAAATGAGTGAAGCAATTCAAAATATATCGATGTAAATAAAAAAGTATATATTCCCTTTATAGTCTTTATGCATTGTCTCATTTTTACATACTACTATAAATGGATTAATCAGACTAAGTATGTTTCAAATGGCATTTGTATCCATGCTTAAATAAATATTTACAAAGAATATGAAATTCTATTGTAGCTAGTTGTGCATTACAAAGTATTTTAATGACGAAATGTCTAAAGGAATTTTTAGATTATCAATAAAACAGTTAGATAAAGAGCCTATGCCTGTACCTTATTGTCCTGATGCATCCATCCTTGTAATGTGGATCATTGTTTTATTAGGAACTGGCTTGGTTCACCTTTTGTGGAAAATGTATATTCACGAAAAAAAATAATGAATTCGCGATGTTTAAATTTAACCTCGTCTTTTTTGAGATCATAATGAAACATTTCCTTTGTTAATAAGATATACTAAGACATTGGTGGGCTATCATATAATCTAGTCTAAATGTCAAATGAACATTCCAGCATGGAACACATTGGGGTATTTTGCAAATGTTGAATAGTCATGTGTCAAGGTGAAATAATCATTTTCCATTAAGAGACTTGGAAGGTGTTTTTAGAGTATTCCCCCATGAGCCGCAATCAATCCAACAAACACTGCTTCACTTAAAGCGTACTTAAAGTGCGCCCTCTGTTGCTGAACATTATAACAAACCATAACATGGCAGAATAGACCAGGTGAGCTCGTTCCGAATTCTGTGTCCGAATTCTTTAAATATCTCACAGTTAAATGATACACCAGTATGCACTCAGGATAATTCTTGTTAGTTCGAATGAACATTCAACGAATGTTTTTTTTTTTGGCTGGAAAACAAAAATATCTTCACGTTAATTGTTTGTGATTACTTCACAATTATATTTACTCTATATCTAGGTCATTGAAGTCTCTGAAATAAAATGCTCCTGAATTATGAATAGTGTAATGTTTTATTTTAATACAATTCGAGGCAGTGTAGAGCATACGGCAAATGAAATTTAGACACAGTTTTTCAGTGTAAAGCTCTTGTAGAATCTTCCTTGCCCGAGAGACCACTTCTCTTTTCCATGCGGTTCCCTCATATCGATTGTGGGCGCCCTCACCGCGTGCATGCGTGCATTTTTATGGATATGTAGTGGGATTTGGGGTAAGAAAATAGTTACTCAACTGGGCGGGACGTTGATGTTGGGATAGCTGTTATTTAAGTCCCAGCTGTGTATATGTAGACAGTCTCACCTCCAGTGACTAATAAATCCCCATTCACTCCGAAGGCAAGGGCTTTGGTTGCAGAGCGCTGTATTTCCTGGACGGCCCCGAGCCACGTGCCTGCTTGGCTGTAACGCTGAACAGCGTATCGTTTGTCATGATCGGCGACCTGCTGTCTGTTAAACCCCCCCGGTTGTGCTTGCTGTTCCAAATATTGTGTTTGTCCCGAATATTGTGTGTTCCCCGCCACAACATAGATATCGTCAAATTCGTCGCAGGCAATACCGGCAGGAGCTGCACTTGGATTGACGCTGTTATCAATTCCGAACACCTCCATTCCCTGCTGATCGACCGACAGTATCCGACGAGAGTTTGCATTCGTGTAAGCGAACCACTGCGTGTCGGTGCCAACAGCTATGTACTCGTCAAGCAGGGGCGCGAGGATCGTTTTGATCAGCGCCCCAGTGCTATTGTGGATGGATATCAACTGTCGGCCTCGGTCACATACCACCACGTGACCCTCTGACGTAACGGCTACGCATGTCAGGGAACTCTGCGCAAGTTTGAGTCCCTCAGCTGGAGTGAACTCGAAGACAAACTTCAGGTTGTCGTCGAACACCTTGACCGTTTTCCCGTCGGTGATGTACATGTTGCCGGTGTCTGTCACACCCAACCCAGACGGTTCGCGGAGGTGTTGCGAGCTGATGGCGGCTTTGTATTGACCATTGGCTTGGTACACTCTCACTTGCCGATCGCCAAGTACAGCGACGTCACCATTGGGATAACATGCAATTGCTTTGGGTCGGTACATGCCATTCGTGTAAAACTGTCGTTTAAATTTCAAATTGTTTTGAAGTAAGAGCTTCCCAATGTACTCGGTGGTGCTCTCAGTCCGGTATCTGAGAGCGACGAAGGACAGATTGTGAAGCGCACGGAGAGTTTGCGCTTCGGCCTCAATGCGAAACTTTCGAAAATCCTCGCCAAGTTCATCGGCATGTTTAATAGACGAGTAAGCTTGGAGGTGAACCTCATAGCTATGGATTTTGCTTCTTCGGTCATCTACAGTCTTTCGTAAGGACTCTCGCAGTGTTATCTCTTCATCTAGGATACCACCCCTCACTTCGTATGCCAATTGTGAGATTTCGTCTTCCACGCGTTCAGACATTGTGTTTAATCTTGAAAGCGCGTTTGCGATTGCGGGATTCAACTGGGGATTGATATCATCCGAATTGGGTGTTTGTTTATTATCGGGTGATGGTTCTTCGACGGCAGGTTCGGCAAAGGGAGTCGGTTTCTCCTCAAACTCTCCAAATATCGGGATGGAGTCCTCAATCAAGGTCCAAGTCCCTTCACTTTCACTATCTCGATTCATTGGATGAATGGTGATGTATGCCAGACAGAGAATAACAATCAATAACAGGCTCCGCGGCCTGATGACAGACATCCTACCGAGAGAACTAGAACGAAGGAATTCGATTAGCTGAGCCAGGTTTTGACGGAGTACGACTCGGATGCCGTCCTGCTGGGAGTTCGCAGCTGAAAGAGGCCGGTGTGTCTCTAACGCCCCCTCGCACACTGTTTTGTGTTCGACAATGCGGTCAGTTTCATCCAAACGACACGGGTGCTGCTCGGTTTGTCCCACCTGCAGGTACCGTTCCTGTTCCTCGGCTTCTTTAAGGATCTCTGTAAGATTTGCTGCGTCGGGAAGACCCGCTCGAGCATCGATGGTGGTCACACGACAGCAGCTTGGACACGATATTTCCAAAGTCGCTGCGTCATTCATGATTTGCGTGAAACAAAACAAAAAGACAATAGGACAAACTAATATATGTACTGATGGAAAGAAACAGAATTTGAACAATTAAAAGGGAAATAAATAAAGGGAAGATACAACATTTGCAAACAGTAAAAACCCAAAATAATCAAATTACTACGAAATTCTTTACTGGACTGTTGGGGAATGACAGTCTAAAGCATCCCGTACAATTGTGGCTCCTGGTGCATGTGCTGACATTCTTTTAAGTAAAGTGGTATTTTTTTATCAATTTCCATCGCTGGTCGGCCTACCAGCGTTGGAGAAAACTCCAATGCTCCTAATTTGTTATATTTAGTTATTCTGCATTTTCTTTGCACTTGACTACACACCTGTGAAGGGATACAAGCCAGCTAGACTGATTCTCTTACCTTATAATTCCCCAACGTCTATACATTGCTTTGTTTTATCTTGAGTGTGGTTAGCGAACAAGACTAAAAGAACTGGATTGCTTTTTGGGTTTTTTTTTTGCAGCATCTACGAACCCAAAACGCAAATAAGTTAGTGTAACAATATTTGCTTTAACAAACTAGCCTAATATTTCTGAACATTACAGCGAAAGCAAGTACTGTACATTCCATTTAACTCTTCATTCATCAAAGTGATAAAAAACTACTGGAATTTCGGAGTGGCCGTATAGCAACGAGATCACGAATAGACCGCTTGCAGATGCGTTCGATAATCGAAGCGC